TCCAGAACCTGAGCCTGATCCTGACTCTGTACAAGTCTCAACTCCAGCTCCTGATCCACTCCCTTCCCATGACCACTCTCCTATTCCAATAGCTCCTCCCTGATCCAGAATCTACCAGAGTTCCCCCCTCCCTACCATCTAGTCTAGTTTACTTAGTTTTCCCCTATCCACGACCTACCTTACATATTTTGTATCCTTCCCTATGGTGTATGCTTTCCCATATCTTTGGGTTTTTCTGCTGCCTTCATTTTCCTTTAGTTCCACCTCCAGTGCCCCAGAGTAGTAAGATCACATCTGATTGGTACTCTTAGCCTGCTTGTACAGGGCCCACTAAATAAAGACTTTTCTACACTATGGAATCATTTCTTTCTGTAATGTATGTGTCAACAGTTTAGTGGGAAAGTAAAAAAAAAGTAAAGTCAAAAGTGATAACCTCAAATTTGTACCCTTTACTAGTTCCATGTGATGGTAACTGGGGGTTTTATGTCCCTAAGGTCAGCAAGTTAGAATAAACATGGTAGACAATAAACTATAGGCTTGTGAGAGAATGACATAATAATGAGTAAGGCTAAGAGCTAAGGCAACACAGAGTGCTGCAGCCATCACAAATGTGAAGGTTACCTAGATATTAGACCCTTAGGTCAGATACTTCAGTGACCTAATCACAATCTGAACAGGTGAGAGAAATGAGCTTCATTAAGGTAGAATACTTGAGGCAAGAAAGTACAAATGAACCAAGGGAAACTCCAAAGGATTGCCTGGAGGCAAGGCAGGGGAAACACTCCCAGAACATAGAAGGGCAGAAGTTCTGACCTTAAATAGGAGTTTGTCTCCAAGGTGCCAAAACAGTTGCCTTTGGTTGCCTTATTGCTTTAGGCTGGTAAAATGCATTTGGCAACCTTCAGGATGAAACAGATAAAATATAAAGGTCTGAAACATCAAGAATCAAAAAGTATGAAACCCAAGTCATGGGAAATCAGGCCCATCATTGGTGGGAGAAATGGTCTGATGGTATACTCTAAAACTATTGGCTTACCCATGGCTTTCCCTGATGCATTTGGCTTTCCCTGATGGGTTTGCCAACACATACATGTCCTGGTAGATCATTCTAACCAAGATCCATCCATCAGGCATCTTCAGGAGGCCAAACAGAGTGAGGGCTCCACAAAAATGTTGTGTGTGGGACCAAAAACCTTTCATCACTTCCTCTATCAAGTTCTGATTATACTTTTGTTTATCAGGCTTGGACAATTCTTTGACTCTGGTCCTATATCAGACTTGTCACTTCATCAAAGGAACCATTACTATCTGTCTTTCATTCATTGTTTGCTGATTAAGCTTTGTTTACTTCCAAATATAAAAGGCGTGAACTGCGCGCTACAATAAATGATATGATATTCTCTCTTTTCATATTTTGACCAAATTCGACTGATATTTTAATAACATCCTCATTTATTACACCGTACAAAAGAGAGTCAGGTGCCATTGTTGCAAAAAAAACTGTAAAGCAGACTGGTATCTAGAAGCCAGTCCCCCTTTCAAAAGAACCTGCAAGTTGAAGTGGAGAATTCAGGAAGATACAGTCGGACCAGGGCTGTCAAAATCTGTAACACAAAGTTTGATAGGTTAACTATTGACGGAGAAAACCTCAAATAAAATCTATAGACGCTTACCAACAAGTGAGCTTAAGAGAATATTGGTACTAAACTTTACTAACGGAATAGTGACAATGGGTGGCACTATGGGACAGCAATTGGGAAATAAGCTGCTGAGCCCTGTGTTGCATACTTGGGCCCAGCTTATATACTATGACTACAATAAATGATTTGCACAGATTGGTGGAGGGCCTCACTGGTCCCCCGTCTTTTCTGGGCCTCTCCCAGAGGTCGCCCAGTCTCTTTTCTTTTGTTTCTTTCAATGGTTGTATAGGCGCGGCCTGTTCCAGCTCCTCGAAGGGATAACCCGTGCTCGGCTTCACGAAACATATAGCTTTGTTGGCTCAGTCGGTAGAGCGTCAGTCTCATAATCTGAAGGTCGTGAGTTCGATCCTCACACAGAGCATTTTTTTATCAACCCTCCTCTACTTCTTCGGCCAATGTGTAACAGGATAGAATGATCACATTTCATTATTTCTACTACCTTGTCTATACTCAGCCTAAAGAAATAGATTGTTCTGTAGCTTCTCTTTAGCCAACCTCTTTGTGTCTTTTAACTTGTCTATAGTTATCACTAAAATTTATCATGTTGACTGTCAATACCTTCCCTCTTTTGGATGTGTGTTCCTGTTTTGTGATTATAGTTGTGTTGATATTAGGCCCAAGTCTAATACCATAACCAAAAGGCTATTCTACTATCACAGAATTAATGTTTCTGAAATTGCTAACTTGGACTTGACCTGGAGTAATCTAATGTGGTAGTTCCCAATCACCATATCAGCACTACTGTGCTCTGACAGTGCACTAGCATAGGGGTGACTCAGCAGGGGGCTGGACCTCCCACCACAAAAGCCTTGCTAGCTATATAAGCTGGAGAACAAATGCCTCAATTAAGGTTATCATTATCTACTTATAATTATTGCAATACTGATCAACACTGGCTCCTACCTACCACATCAGCAATCATAGGCTATATAAGTGGTCCATTGTTGACAAAAAATCATCTTGCTATTTCCCATCTTGATAGTTTACTAATAATCTCTGGTGAATACACACCATTTCCTTTTTGGCTCCTCTCTTTCTCCCTCCTGGTTTTATCCATCCTGATAGCATATTAGTACTTGGATGGTCACCCAGACCCATTAATTTTTATTTGAAGTTCCTTTGAGTCTTAGAATGACTCAATAATATTTTTACCATCTCTTTCAAGGGGGAATAACTGTGAAAGAATTTGAAATGGCCACCCTTATTGGCTACATGCCATCAGTAAGTAGTCTCTCTATTGTTCTCCCCCATTTTTACTTCTTGGATTTTGTCCTGGTAAAATTTCTCAACTGATAAATCACTCCTCCTTCCTTAGGGCTATTTTTTTATAATTACCCTATCTTTTCTCTTCCTTTTTCTCATTAGCCCAATCATCTCACAAATTCTCTTACCTCTTTAGGAGTAAGATTTCTCTTTATAGAACTTACTGCATGATCATTACACTACTAGAATATAATTCTTTTTTCAATTATTTTATAGAGAGCCTAGCCTTCCAGTGTGGTGTTTACTCACCTTCTGTGATAAAACCTTCCACAATAGTAGAGGGTATTCTAATTTATTTGTCTGTCTGGTTGTCTATGCACTATATTTGATCTTTTGAGCTGGCCTCAGGTGTATAGTAATTAGGTCTATATTTCCATGCTACTTGATAACACATAAGATGGTAGCCAGCAGTTACACTGCCATGTACACCCATAATGCCATCACCCAACAAGCCAATCATGAATACCATTTTATGGACACTTGTGTCATAATTTATTTTCCAACACCTACTGACCTCAATGTAACTGGGGTCTTTGACCTGAGAAATGTTAGCCTTTTTCTTAAGACCTTTCTGTATGCGGTAGGCCAAATTCTGGAGTGGGAAATAAATAATTGTTTAGAAGTCTAAGTGTAGAGAAGTAACAGTCTTTGTTCACAATTGGTGTTATGCATGCCTTACTAGTCAGATAGAAGTAGGCCTTGGTGTGTGTAACAAGTACTATGAGTCTTCAGTCTAGTAGCCTCAGGTTATCTGTGACATCATAGGTGCAGATGGTTCCTTTCAGCTCACTGCCTCGTTCAGCTACCAAGTTGATTATTCTATAATTATAATTTAAAGTAAAAATTATGATTAAGCAGTTTGAAAGGAAAATCATTCTATTAAAGGCGAAAATCAACCGCTCTTTTTCAAATATGCAAGATATATTAGGCTTATCATTGTTATAACTGGCAACAATCATGATTTAGTGAAAACCCAAGTGTAAAAAATCTCCGAAACGGGGAATTGAACCCCGGCCATCACGGTGAGAGCGTGAGATCCTGACCACTGGACCATTTCGGACCACATCTTAGTTGTGTTGTACGTCAGTCCTATTAGCCTATTAGCCGGGTACATGATCTGGGTTCATCTACTTCAGATATTTCGTTAACTCTGGTGGCCACCAGATGTGGCTGCTAGAAGGGTATTCTATTAGCTCATTCATGCTAGCTACTACCAATGGTGGTAATATGACAACAACCCCATTGACAGTAGGCTCCACCATCTGACAGTAGTCTATTCTTTAGTGTATCTATTGTTCCTGTTGTGCCTAGTAAAAAATTGACACCTCTTTTCTTAAAAACCATACCCTTTATATTTCGAACTCAACTCTGTATTAACAAGGCACAACACATTGTGAAAAATGGCAGTTCACCCTCTCAATTACATTGTATTAGGTAGAGATAATTAAAAGATGCATATCAAATTTGGTTAAGGAAAGGCTAAGTAGTTTTGCATGGTATCAGTTATTGTGAGGTAAGGTTTGAACCTTTTTTATTTTAGAGAATAAAACTTAATTGGCAAGCAAGGATGAAGGAAAGCTAGTGATGGCTCCTTTGACAAAGTAACAGGTTTGGCATCTATCACTTTGCATTGAAGTGAAAGTATTATGCAAACCTAATAAAGCAAAGTAAAATCAATACTGGATATGTACAAGGAATAAAGCAGTTATAAGGCCCCACACACAACATTGTTGTGATTAAGGTGCTTCTACTCTGCCCTGCCAAACCTCCTCATACCCTAATGCATGATCATTGCTAGATGCCTATTGTCCACCATGCTGTGATGGCTTAATGCATCTCAATTATTCTATCAGGCCCTATGCACAACATTTTAGTGGTGTGGACACTGACGTTGCATCTTGAAGGAATCTAGCTGATGTGCTTATACCTTAGGATGTCAACAATGGGAAAAACTCATGTGGGGAAAGGACAAGATTTAAGTATTAAGTTATCAGTATTGCACAGAGAGATGTAGGTCCTCCCCTATGCCTGGGTGTAAACAATGACCCCACACTAGTTAGTATGGGCTTGGCAGGTATTTGTTAAATGATTTTATTTTATTTATCTTTTTTCATTTTGTTACAGGTTGGAATGTTTTCATTGTCTCATATTTTTTATGTGCTCAATAACAGTACATAATTTTAATTAATGCTTGTGCCACTTGGGTGTAGACCATTATTCAGCCCCACCTAGCCATTGTGGCATCCTAGGCCACCTACTGGCCAACACCTTATTCTAGGGCCCAGCACTATAATTGTGTGGAACCCAGATATCATTATGTATTCCTGAAGATTCCTGGTGGGGTAGGACATGATAGGTGATCATCCCCAATATACTAGGTCACCTACAGTATCAGTGAAAGCCAACTCAAAGCACCAAAGGCATGAGTGGCCAAATCCTTTTGATTCTGCAGCGCCAATACAGCTTTCATCAATGGCAGGCCAAATTTCCTATGATTTCTGGAAAACTATTCTCTTAAAAGCTTTTGCTGTTTATCTGTTTCAGCTTGTCATTGCTATTTTTCATTCACAATCCAGAATGACCAACACCTGGGCTAGATCTAGATGTACTATTTATAGCCCAAGCGCCTGCACATCTAAGCTAAGGGTGTGGTGTGTCTATCCTGCCTTGGAGTACCTGACTTAATTAAATTCTGGTTCCAGTATATGATTCATGGAGGAGTGATAAAAGTGCATTCCACAGCACCTTTCCAGTAGCTCCATGATGCCCATGGTGCACCTGTGTCCCAAGTAGGACCTCAGGAGCTTGGTACACTATAATCCTCATTATTTTCCCACTTATTCCATAATGTCTATTACTTTATATGGAATCCAGCAGCAGGTTCTTTGAAAAGAGGATTTTATTTTGAAAAGGGAATATACAGAATTTAGTTGGGATAAGTGATGGGGTAGAAGAGAGGAGGAAGGGATGGGCTTTTATAAGAAAAAGGAAGGATTTGGTTATAGAGGATTTTAGTGGGAAGAGAATCAAAGGATGAAAAGACAATGGGTCTTGACAAGACTCTAAAGACAATTAATAAACAATAGGTAGGCCTGGTTAGCCATCCAAGGGACATTAGGGTGAAATACAAAAGGAAATCAGGTTATATCACCATAATAGCCAGTAGGGATGTAACTAAAAGACGTCTATGAAATAATCAATACAATAGCTACAGAAGATCCAAGAATTGACATTTCTCAGGATGGGAACATGTTACCAATGCTGGCTTCAGGCCTTCTCTAGTTGCTTATGATTTCCTGTAATTGCATCAGGGTTCGATTATAAACTATGTAGTGTACTAAAAAAACTAATTGCCCCATGCAGGGATCGAACCTACGACCTTCGCGTTATTAGCACGACGCTCTAAACCAACTGAGCTAATAGGGCCACGTTTGTTTTGTGCGCCAGGGCTAAAATCCCACTGGCTGGGTACTTGAGTCCAGCCATTCGTTTCGGATATTTCGATTAGCTCCGGTGGTCACCGGATGTGGCCGCTAGAAGGGTTTTCTTTTTGCTTTAACTACTGCAAATGGTGGTAACATGACGACAGCACCATTGACAGTAGACTAAATCATCCAACAATGTCTATTCTTATTATATATATCAACTCTGTTGTGCCTAGTAATAAACCAACACCTTTTCCAGAGAACCATACCTTTTAAAAACCCCTTTATGAACTGATTTCGACCACATCAATTAACAAGGCACAACATTGCAATGTGGTAGTGCGCTTTATTGCCTCAAATATCAGTATCAGAGTGGTGGCAATTGGCCAGCCCTTTTGGTCAGTCAAGGGGACAGTGCAGTTGGTGCAAAGATCAATAGTAAGTTGAGTACAGATGGCGCTAATTAAAAGTAAGAAAAAAAATCTGAAGTTTATTTAGTGGTCATGCTTTGCACCTTAATTACAAATCAACTATGATGTAAACAAAGTGATAACCATCAATGATAAAGGCTGAGCTAATATTATCTTGAGGTGATTAAGTTGTGGGTTCTGGTCCACAACATTTGTGTGGTGCCAACACCCACTTTAGTTGTTAAAGGTATCTAATGGGCATGCTGACACTGGGAAAATGTAAACAACTGCCAAGCACCTCATTGGGGAAAGTGGGTATCAAGGTTTAAGGTTATGGGCATCATGCAGGGGGATGTAGATCCTTCCCTGAGCACAAGTATAAAAGCAAGCCCATGCAGGTAGGCTAGGGCTTGCAGTCTTATTTTCCATTTTTCAATACCTTTTTATTAATCTCTTTATTCTATTTATTTATTTACTAGTAGTTGGACACCATGACAGTTCCATACTATTTATTTTAACAGTATCAGTAAACATTCCTGTTGTTGCCATTTCACTCTGTTTGCCATTAGGCCCAGACCATCATTGCATATGGCCCAACCAAAGACTGCTGCCTAGGGCCTTGCATCACATTGCTGTGGTACCAACACCCACATTCCTTCTTGAAGGTATCTAACAGGCACATTGATACCTAGAAAGCATAGACAATTGCCAATCCTCTTGTGGGGGAAAGGCAATATTAAGGTTTTAAGTTACACTTGATATGCAGGGGGATGTAGATCCTTCCCTGCACCCAAGAATAGAAGCAAGCCTGTGCTGTTAAGCAAGCGCTAGCTAGTTAATATTTATTTATTTTATTTTCATTACATATTTTTGATATCTATTTATTTATAATAGTAGTTGGACACTGCCATGGTCCCATACTATTTACATTATCTCTAGTAGTAAAAAACCCATTACTGCCCGTTTTCCCCATTTGACATTGGGCCTAGACTGTTATTGTGTATGGCCCAACCAAATACCCACCACCTAGGGCCTAGCACCACATCTGAGGTGCCCAGGTAAATGTTTATTTTAATGAAGATTCCTGGCTTATTACGCTACTAGGGATGGTTTTGCTTACTTAGCTTTTTTTTTACAAAGTCCAGGATCAGGCACTGAAACCTTGGGAAATACACCTTTTGGATGTTGCACTTCTGGCAGATTTCCCACTAACTAATGGGTCATTTGTCTCATGACCCAGTGGCCTATTGTTTAGCAAACATGATTTATTATGTATCCTATTTAGCTGATGAATGGCATAGGCAACAATCATTGGATTAGCCAAAGGGGCCACTGGACCCTGAAGGCACTAAATGTTATGTATATCCCAAGCCCCAATGACTCTGAACTTGGGGAGTGTTTTTCCATACCCAGCCTCCAGGTACTGAATTCTACATTAAAATGTCTTATATCAATAAATATGTATATTTTCAATTTGAATGGTGAGTGTGGTGATTGGGAACCACCACATTAGATCATCCCAGGGTAAAGTCCAAGTCTACTATTTCAGAACCACAAATTCTGTGATAGTAGAATAGCCTTTTGGTTATGGTATTAGACTTGGGCCTAGTATCAACACAGTGAGCATAAAACGTAATAATGAAAAACATTCAACCAGGCAGAGTTTTAAAACTAATGATGTAGAGGGAAAGACATTGTGAGAGTCAGGGGTGAATGCAGAGTTAGTCAGTGAGCACAAGCAGACAGGTTTAGGTTTTAACTATACCATAGGTAACGCTTAATCAGAAACCAAGATGGAACTAAAGTATATTTTTGTAGTCATTCATTGTGTTTCAAATATAAAAGACAATAAATGCAAAGGTCAGTGATTTAAGAGTATAAAGTAGCCCAGAGGTTAATCAATATATCAGGATGACTTCCTTTTAATGCTGATAAAGACTTGATAATGGGCTCATCATAACTAATCAAGTGGTCTAAAACTTTATTCTGGCTAAAGGTTAAAATAACCTGTGACTGATAAAATGGTCAAACTATATTGCCATTTTTCTGTGGGCTGGTCTGTAACCTTTGTTGTGTAGGCACCCTATTTGACTCTAGAAGGGATTTAGTAGACATGCCAATATCCTGGGGTGCCAACAATATTCAAGACAGCCTTGAGGGAACCACCTAGGACCAAGAAGAAGGGTATCAGTTATATTATAGGTGATGCAAATCCTTCCTCATGCCCCTTGGAAAAATAGTGAGCCTGTACTAATATAAAATGGCTGTGGTGATTGGGAACCACCACATTAGATTATCCCAAGGTAAAGTCCAAGTCTAATATTTCAGAACCATAAGTTCTGTGATAGTAGAATAGCCTTTTGGTATGGTATTAGATTTTGGCCTAATATCAGCACAGCCCTAAAGGTGGCCCCATCCTAATAGAGGACTGTCAAGGTCCCACCACACCCAAGGTGATGCTGACCATATTTTTTTCTCCAGGCATGGTCTGTTGCACCTGAGTGCTAAGCCTCCTTGGTGTCAAAGTCTCCACCAAACTCTATTTAGAGTAGGGGCTGGAAGCCATGGTCCAGGCCTGGGTGGAGGCACATGGAAGCCTGGACTATCACCCTCACCAACCCTACAATGATAATGTACCACCTCATTGTGCTGCACTTACCCAGACCTCCTTTTCTGACACCAGAGTTCAACTTCTTTTGACCCCTCCCAATGGTCCCTGGTACAGCCCCCTGCAACTTAAGGCTATTCAAAGATGTCAAATGGTAGCTGTTTGGTAAGAGGCCCACTATATTGAAGGGCATTATAGCCACCAGGATATTTGAGCTTCCCAGACTCTAGCTAAGTGAATATAGACCCTGCTTTGATAGCAGGCTAGGAATAGCTGGCTAAGCCATACATAGTGGTGGCCATTAGTTTATATATATATCAGTCTGTGAGCAGTCCTAACCTTTATGAAGTACCCATAAGGAAGAGAATATGGAAATTTAACAATTTTGTGTGCAGTAGCAGGATATCCATAATCACTTAATGATATGGAAAGGTAATTGTCAGGTGGAGAGGAAACTCAAGATAACTGGGGGCCCATAGGGTGAAATGAATGGTTGCTTTGTAAGGAGATGTCACAAATAGTTGGCAATGAGTGGTATTGTAACCAAGGGGCCTGCAAAAAGTCTCCCAGTCCAAGGTCACAGCCTTCTTTCACACATAGTCTTCCTTACGGAACCTCCTATATTGTTTTCTCTGACAAAATGATTATGTGTTTATGATTAAGATGGTAACATAGCCATATCAGTCATATTGGATGAAACTTGAGCTCTCTATATCAAGGATTAGGAGTTGGAGTCTGCCCCTTTACTACACTAAATATTTTCTAATCATCTGTAAACTCAGCTATATATAGCAGACAACTAGGTCATATGCATATATTTATTAAGTATGCTATAGTTATATCTTCAATACTACCATGCCTCTGCTGTCCTCCTGTCTTATTTGCCGTGCTTCCTCTTTTAAATTCTCAAGTCCATTTCCACATGCCTTTTTCAGTTAAACATTGTATGGTAATGCAGGACAAAAGGGACATGTACATGCCAAAATTTATATGACTATGATAAAACTCATTTTACATAGTCTCAGCCCCCAGTACCAGAGTCACTATCAATAGACATGATTAATGCCACATTTAAAAAGTTAACCAGTGGTTTATTAAAGCAGAAATGTAAAATTGTATAACTAATACTCCCGTCCACTAATGATTATCGGCAAAAAAATTAAAGCTCCAACAAAATGATGAGCGGAGTGGGATTCGAACCCACGCCTCCGGAGAGATCACGGCCTTAACGTGACGCCTTAGACCGCTCGGCCATCCGCCCTTATTGTGTTGTAAAGTTTTTGACAGGAATTGACAGTAACTAGGGTTGGGATCGAAAACGTCTGGTAAGATGATATGGAGAATAAAGGTAGGAAACCAACTGCCGTTCCAAGAAGAGGAAACTGGCCCGGTATATATTCATGTTGTAATACTACTGTAGACATACCCTTGTGCACATAGGCTGGGTTGTTCAGATCAAAGATAAAGGCAGTTCAATGCTATCATAGTTTGGTAAGTGAATTGGTTATAATAAGCTGGGATTCCTACAGTGATCCTAAAAACAGCCTTGGTTGATTGCTCCATTACAGTGTTGTGGAGCCCAGATAGGTATTTGCCCTCCTGAAGATTCCTGAGGGTCAACTTTATTACATAAGGTCAATGATACCCAATGGAGTCAACTACAAGGATCAGGATTAAAGACTGAGGCCTTGGGAATGGAAACATTTCAATTATGCCCCACCGGCAGATTTCCCACCAGCTGATGGTCTAAATGTCCCATGACCTAGGCAACCTATTGTCTTACAACTTTTTGATTTATTAAGTTTCATACCTGGAGGGGCCAATAGGCAAAATGGGAAAATGGCAAACCTTGGAGTAGCCAGCCAGGCTACAGCCTTATTGAGGATTCACAATTATTATTTATAGCCCAGGCTCCAGCACCTCTGAGCTCAGGGAGTGTTTTTCATCAACCCTGCCTTGGGGTACTATTCCTATTATATTTAA